CACACACACACACACACACCTCAGCAGCGCACTGTACACCTTGATAATTAAAGACACAGAAGCAAAAACTGCCTGTTCATTCAGAAACAGCACCAAACATCAAGAAATCATTGCAACAGTAATAATACTAAGCTTAACATTCCTCATTTCAGCATCATCATCATCAGTCATAAGAATCTTTACAGCTGCAAATATACAGGATCGAAATCGACTGGGCCCCGAAGTGTTTACATGCGGATCGGCTCGTCAGTCACATCCACGCAGGCACAGCTGACGCCCTCAGCCCAGCAGAGGGCGACACACAAAAGAAAAAGTCAAGAGAAAGCTCCTTGTCCCGCCACCACTCAGCCACTCTTCCAAGTCTGGAGTGTTTTAGGAAACCGACCTGGACGCTCTGCACCGCACATTGTGTCTGGAGAGGAAGCAGAGTATTGCTGTGTTAAAATCTGTGCAAATTCTAAGAAAGACCCACTTCATCTCCAGGGAAGATCTTTAGGTGCAGAGTCTCCACTCGTGTATTTGGTGTCGAGGAGTCCGGGCTTATGTCTGCGCCCCTGGCAGGACGCGGCCCGGCTCCAGGCTGGTGGTGGTCGTGGGGGTGGAGGTGGAGGACGGCGGCAGACCCTTGGGTCCCGGACTGAGCAGCCCGCGTGAGGCTGCGTGGTCCCTGTTCAGGTTCTTGTAGGGGTTCCTGCGCGGTGGAGCTCTGAGACAAACCGAGGGGAAGCGGAGGCCGGCGAGGCAGCAGCCCGGACAGGAGACGACCTCCTCCTGGTCCAGAGAGTGGCCGCTGCTGGAGCCAAACGGGGACAAACCGGCGGGATCTCCAGGAGGTGAGTGGTAGCCGTTGTTGTTGGTGGTGGCGGCATTTGGGGTCGGGGTGCTCCATCCCAGCGGCCGGCTGACGACCACATTGTTGTTGTCCAAATGGGTGAGGGGAGGCAGGCACGGAGGCCCGTTGGAGATGGCGGACCCCCAGCCGTTAGAGAAGGGAGGGGTGGAGGGTTGGAGTGGAGTAGAGGAGTGTGTGGGTTTGGAGTAAGAAGATGAAGTGCTGTCGTCTTGTGTGTCCGGAGAGCTGGTGCAGTCCATGGGCTCCTCATCCTCCTCTTTCTCCTCCTCTTGGTCGAGGGACAGCGGCTCGAGAGACAGAGGAAGACCAGAGTCACCTGCCTGGTGCGTCCCGCTCTCCTCCCCCATCTCCTTCCCTTCCAACAGTCTGTTCTCATTGCCCTCTCCATTTATTTCACCTTTCCTTTCAGACGGGGACTCAGCCTCACTGAGGATGGTGTTTGGCGCCGACGTGAGGTACGGGGGAGGCGTGCAAGGCAGCGAGTGGCAGCGCCTGTGCCTCCGGTGCAGGTTGACGCCGTCTGTCTCGGAGGCTGAAGGTTCGTCGCAGTCGGGTGGAGGGGGCAGGGTGAAGGTCAGGGAGATGACCGACTTGCTGGGCGTGTCAAACAACTTGATCTTGCCCCCTTTCAGGTCCTCCCTCTGAGAGAAGGGGTTGATGCGGGCGGGGGGCACCTGGTTGACAGAGGGGGGCGTGTCCTGGGGGTGAAGCATGTCGGACTTACTGCGGGAGAGTCGAGGGTCCGATGTGCGGAAGAGGGGCGATTTCCACAGAGGGCTGATGGATGGAGAGACGCCTTTGAAAAGAGAAAACAAACAAAAAGGTAAATGAAGGAAACTTTCAGAAATATTAGTTGAGGCTCAGGTGACGAGAGACGACTCACGTTTGACCGCCAGCTCGTCCTTCTGCTTCCTCTCTGCCTGTCTCCTCTCCAGCTCCGCTACGATTTGGGTAAAGGATGGACGGAGCTTTGCATTCATCTGACAGGACAGAAAGATTCAGACTGAGCATCACGGACAGAGGAGACAGAACTCAAAAGAAACAGATCATTTTTCAAAAATACAGTGAAGGAATAAATCAGAAATGAGGAGCAGGAGTTTCTTACATTGCAGCAGGAAATGGCCAGTTCGAGGAAATCTGAGGGACAGTCGCCCACCATCTGCTGAAAGGCCTCGACATCCAGACCAAAGTCCTGCAGAGAAACAGAGAAAATGACACCAGGGTTTACTTTCATGTCTGTACGAACATTTCCCCCCCCCCCTCCGGTTAAATAGAATCACACACATGGAAAAAGAAAAAATCTTTTTACATCAGCCTTCGTTTGATATTGAGATGAGACGATGAAGCTGCTGAATTATTCAACAGACACAAGACGGAGAGAAGCTTTTGTTAGAGCTTCAAAGCTTTGAATCAGAGTTCAGCTGATCCCGTGTCCAAAATACAGCAGTTAGTATAAAACTGTGTGAACCAACAGGAACACATGTAGCGACACGCGTCAATTAAACTGTAACATGGGAACATTATTGAGGAAAAAGAAATCAATTTGTTTGATTTCTCTGAAGTGGTTTCTAAAACTTCTGCAACAATTGTTTTGCAGCCGTGAGCAGTGACAACATGAAGTTTTAGAGCAACACCGTGCAAAGTGAAGCTGAACCGTAGATCCGTTAAAAAAGACTTAAAGTTATTAAAAACTCCAAAGTTCAGTAGGAAACTTTTAAAATATGAAGAATTCTGAACAGAGTTTGGTGGATTTGTAACCGCAGCACCTTTCAGGAAGCTGAGGATCATGGGTAATATCCAGCGTCAACACATTTAGGGACGTTTTTTTTTTCCTCTACATACAAAAACCAGACAAAATCAATCACCACAGGCGACTGCAGAGGGCGCTGTTGCTCAGTAAAATCTACAGTATAAAGGTTTGTAATTTCAAATATATTATGAAGGATTAGATGAAGTAACTCGTCCCCGGATCATAAAGAGGTCATCACTTAATCTGAGCACTCAGCAGTTACATTTTGGAGTCATGTGATCCTCTGTCCTGCAAAGTCAGCTTCCTTTTCATTCACCATATTTTTTCACAATCATAACTAAAACGGTGCAACTGCTGCTTGAAGTCATAATGAAATCCAGACACTGAAATCAACACAGTCACTTTCCAGGGAAGAAAAACCTGCACATCATTGATGAAGCTTTTATTCTGAGCGGTTTTCCAGACAGGTCACGCTGTTATATAATCAGGGGCCCAATGAAATTAGTATGGATGCGGAGGTGGTGGTGGTGGTGGTGGGGGGGTGAGGGCATGTGGTCTGACCTCAGTGCGTGGCAGGATGTCAGGGTCGGCCTGTATCCTCGCAATGACCTCACACAGGATGATCCCGAACGCAAACACGTCCACCTGCACAGAGAGAAGAAGAGTCGATTAGTTATCAGGTCAAATTAGAAAATACTGCTTCACTAAGTTTTCTAAAACTTTACAGTAACTATTATTTAGATATATAGGTCTGACAACATGATTATGCAACTTGTTTAGATTTGCAATTATCTTTCACCTTCTGCAATAAAATCTAAAATGTTCCACTCTCTGGATCTAGTTTATATTTATTTGTAGTTTCATGAATTCTCCATAAAACTGAGGAAACATTAAGATACAACTGAAACAGCCGATGAGGAATTACATCAAACTCCACAGAGAAATACCACGAGCCCCTCGTCAGGACGTCCTGCTCTTATGTAACTAAATCCCTGTTTGCTTTCGTGACACAATATCTGATTAATTTAATATTTACAGCTCGACTTCCGTTCTTTATTTGAGCGCCTATCATCGCACTGTGGACCTTGAACCGCCGCAACAATCTGCAGCTGCACGGTGATGAAGGCAGAGATCCGTCATTACCGTCTCATTGTACACTTCTCCTCGGAGAACCTCTGGGGCCATCCAGTAGGGGGAGCCGACGACGGCCAGGGGCTCCTGGTCTTCGTCCTCGCTGAAGGAGAGAGGATGGATGGAGGAAGGAGGAGAGAAGGAAATGTACAGTTTATTTTCAAAGCACTTTTAACAGGAGAATTCAAAGCACTTGACGTAAAATAGAAAAGGCATCGTGACAAATTGTAAAAGCAACGTTAGACTTTAAGAAATTCAAGAGTTACAGAGAACAGAGGGAATAAAAACATTAATTTAATTAATTAATAAAAGGAAACAGAAAAAATATCCAAGTTTT